AAGAGGAATCACATTTTCACCAAACGGGCAATTGGAATGAAACTTTCATAATTTTCATAAACATTTTAAGACTTATTCTAAAAAATCAAACATGGCCAGGTTTAATGTGTCCAAACCTAGTTATTAGTGCTTTGGTTTTTCCACTATTCTCTCTGACTTTTAAACGGATTTCTCTTTATTTTTCTCTTTATTTATTTTGTTCTGTAGATATTCATTTACATCCATAGTCAAATAAATTTATTATTCTCATTGATATGTTATTACTAAGCGGAGAAAAAAAGAAAAGTCTGTAAGATTCACAAATGTACAAGCAATGATGAGAAAAAGAATGAGTACCAATAAATGAAGGAAACCCGTAAATGGAAGGAAACAATCACAGGAAAACCGGTGTATTCATAAAAATGGGGGAAATATGAAAACGATTGAGTGCTGAGCTGTGTTTTGGGGTTGGATGTGAGAATTGAAAAATTTTTCTTCAAAATAGTACTTTTCCTTTGTGGTTACAGGAGCTTTGGTCACCTTTTAGCTCTCTGATCTAGTTTTTGATCGAATCTTGTCGACACCACCTTTCTGGCGCACAGATTTCTTCATTTTTTCTTGCAACTACGACTCGAGCACACCAGAAAGGATGTATTTACAAGATTTGATCACAAAGTACACAGTGAAAAAGTACCATGAGAGCTGGGCAGTTTTTTGAAGATCAAAACGAATGTGTCCTAACAATTAGCAAATTGAAGACGGGAGGAGTTGAGGGGTCAATGGAGGAGACAGGACGAATGATCAATGATGGAGATGGAGGGGAGAAGCCCATTGAAATGCAGGAATTGAGGACATTGAGGAGGGAGTTGATGGGACAAGACACTCACGATCCTCGTCACCTTGATCGAGAGAGACCGGAGGAAAGCTTCGAGACGATTACCTGGAAATGGGAATTGTTGATGGGAAAATTGTTTATTTTATTTCTTCTAAAACAAGCCAATTCGGAGAAAAGTAACCTTGGATTACCCTTTTTCCGTACTACCGTAACCCTGTAGTGAGATTTTATTGCCTCCAATACATATCTCATCATCGAATCTCATAAGGAGCTCGAAGGCTCGAGGATGAAGAAACGAAGGTGCTTTTCTATACAAAATTTCTCCCGCCTGCGAAGCGCTTAGCAAAACTAAAGACGGATTCGGAAAGAAGTCGAGAAGAAAAAGGGGATGAGAGAAGCGCTTGGGAAAGGGAAATGAGAGACAATGAGAGGGAATTGATGGCAATCGAATCGAGGAGGGGAAGCAGACTGTCGGCGATACGGGTGAGTTGTGCAGCAAGTGAGCAATTGAACTGGATAAATAGAACGAATCAAGAAACAAAGTCACACATTTCTTTGTTTCACTGATAAAGTCTCATAGTTGACGAATCGCTCCAGTCCGGTAAGAGACGACACTCACGTCGCATTTCCACTCCAAGTTGTCATCTTTTGGGCTGTTGAGCTTTTCGATGCTCTTGCATACCTGCATCATCGATATATTGTACACCGTGACGTCAAACCTAATAAGTTCGAGTTTTTTTAATGAGAAATTCAATAGATTCTAGCATTTTGGTCACTAAGCGTTCCTCAGTAAAACTCGGCGATTTTGATACCACCACAATTTCGGCGGACTTTTGTGGAGAGCTGCAGTCGGGTCGACAAAGCTCCAAATCAAACCCAGGGAAGAATCTTCACAAGTAAACGGCTTTTTATCTTTATACTCTAGCCAGCATTGCAGAATTCACCAAAAATGACGTCTACAGCATGGGACTCGTTATTCGAGAACTCGTTCAAAGAAGGTTGATGAACCCATCAACTTTACTATTTAAGCGAAAGTTGCAGAAGATTTTATGATGAACTCGCCGATGTGGAAGTGCCCTATGAGCTATACGGGCTTATCCTTCAAAAACAAAATCTGGAGATCTCCGAATTAGCTTTAAACCCCGAGCTGCGTCGTCTTTTTAGAGAGGCGGGTCAACAAATAGAAAATATTACAGACAGTTCACCTTTATAAGTTTTTCTAAATTTTCAGATGTATTCGATTTGAGAAAAACAGCGGCCGATCTCGGCGTGGGTGATGAAGAGACTATTGAATTTGCAGGTGATTAAGAGCTTTTTAGCCAAGAAATAAATAAACTTTCAGCAAGCTTTCAACCAAGAAGACAATGTTTTGGTTATTGATTCAAGAATTGTTTCAAGAACCAGTCTTGCCAACAAATTTTTCAAAGCCAGCAACGGTTCTACAAACGGGCACCCGCCTAAAATTTACGCAGTCGGAGAGGCCCAAGACTTATGCCATCTAGAAGTGGCTGCCATTCAAACTCATCTCGGTAATGCGAGAACGAACTACGAAGAGAAATTGAGAGTGTTGACGTCTGGAGAAACACAAAGCTTTAATCTCAAGAAGCCCGAAATCGAAAAAGGCAAACGATTAGGATCTTTCACTCGATCTTTCAAGGATCTGATTATCATCGATGGAGAATCGTCGACCGAAGTGAAATCCCCAACGAAATCAAGGATCTCTACAAGGATTTCCCTGATTGGACAATCTATCAGCATCTCCACGAGAAAACTAACGCCATTTTTGAAAAAGGCTTTTAAGTTTAGTTTTTCAAGAAGACAGTCCTTCGAAAGTTAACTGGTGATTTGTAGAATAGTTTTGTCTTTGCCCTAACTACCAAAGAAAATCCCTTCTTGCTTTGTGATTATGACGGTTATCAATGAAATTTTTGACTTTCATTTTTGTATTTATTTTGGGTGAGATTTGCTAATAAATCTTTATATGAAATATATGAAAAACAGGTATTCAATTCATGTTTCTTAAAGGAAATAAATAAAAAAGGCTCTTTTCCTTTCAATGGCAGGTTTTTTTAAATTGTCAAATTATAAAAACACTATTAGATTTTGAAGTTTTGATGCTTATAGTTGGAAGTTTCCAAAACAAGATCATCTTTGCTCAAAAAACGTTTTTAAAAACCTATTATTCTTAGTTTTCTATAGAAATTTGTGCCAAAATGATCTTGCAAAGTTGCAAAGTGCAAAGCCAAAACAGCCCCATTGCGAAAACGCCCAAAAACAGCGACGAGCAAAAAAATGATTTTTTTAGATTTTTGCTTTTGCTTTTTCTTTGCTATTTTTAACTTTTTCTGTCTGCTTTTTGCGTTTTCAGGGTAAAAAGAGGCAGAGCATCCTATTTTTTTAGCTTTACGCATAGAAACTCACCGTAGCGGTTTATGAAAGTGATTTTAACCAAAAATACCACATTTTTCCTTTTGCCGCCGGTTTTTTAACGGTTTTACTAACTTTTTTTGTATAGAGTTGCTAAAAGTCTATTGCTCATAACAGGCCAGTGTCTTAGGTGAACAGGAGAACAAGAACAGTTACAGGCCTAATAATGCTGAATAACTGAAAGTTTCTTCAAAAACTGGTATTTAGTGTTGGGATACAATCCGGAACAGACCAACTGTAAACGAGTCGAAGCGGGCAATCTTTTGACTTGGCACTGAGAAGACCACATGTATACTAGACATGGCAATCGAATTTCTTCAGATCGGTCAGTGTCTTAGGTGAACAGGAGAACCAGGATAGTTTTTTGTATTGTAAGCCAAATAATCATGACTAACAGATAAGGTCGGACTGATCTGGTCCTGTCCGATTCTCATGTCTTAATGTGTACCCTCTAGCATATTCCTAACAAGAGGAGCCTAGTTTGTTGCGCTTAGTGTAAGCTGTGGTTTGGTCATTGTAATTTGGGTTTGATCTTATCATTTGATTTGATCAACTCTAGATGAAAATGATGTCGCGAATGCGTTAAAATTGCTCAAAGCACGCCAATTCAAAAAGTTCCCTTTTCCATTTCTACCCAATTCATTTCTGTATAGTTGACCACATTATGTTCTGGAGAATTAGGAAGTAACGCTGAAATTAGTTATCGGGACAAACATTTACATCAAGATATGTATCATCAGTTTTTCTTGATGATGCAAATCTTGATCAACCAATCAAGTCAATATCATACTTCAGCATGAATAGGTAAAAACAGGAATCGCTGCCACACTTTTTAAAATCGATCCAAAAGAAATATTCTTAGCTCTAAGATTAAAAGGCTTTTTTCAGTAAACTATCTCAGGAATTTGATCATAAGATTGTGCATCCATCCGTTTCTCGTGCTAATTCTACACATCAACCCAAAGCATTCCAAATAATAAAAAAACAATACCAATGGCATCGATGACATGTGCTATATATGTTCTGGCTTTTAACGTTCACAATATAGCACACTTGTCTCGACCAATTCTATTTAGCAATATAAATTGAATTTAGGTTTTTTTCTTTGTGCTCTCATCTGATCATTTAACCACGGCTCTTCGTTAGTAAAAGCTTCGACTTAAAAACTGAACTCAAGAACTTTGCCAAATGATAGGTGTAACTAGATGTCGTGTTTCACAGAGCTCAGTTCAGAGCTGAATCTTCAAAGATTAACTGTTTACTCAAAGCACAACGGTTAGCTGTATAGAGAAATTGTCGAATCCTTCAGCATTGCTGTAGACCTTGATCGTGAAGTCGGCCAGTTCGCTTGCTGAGATGTCGGCAATCGTTTGCTTCTGTTGAAAATGATAAAGCGCTTCAGGGAAAGCGTTGAGCATGGGCTTCCATTTCTCGGCCAGCTGACTAACTGAAAAGAAAATATCTAATAAAGCTCGTGAAGTCGTAAATAAACATCTGGGTGGGGTGAGTGGGTCACGAACTCTACTAATCACCAAAAGCCTGCTAAAATTAAACCAGAATGGATTTTCATCCACATTTTCTCCCTTCTCCCTTTTTAAACCACAAACTACAAGACTTCGACGCAAAATCAAATACAGTTGTTGAGCCAGTAAAACATTTATTTCACGCGGACGCAAACCATCTTATTTGGCGGCCGACTGGAAAGCGATACACACTCAAGTACATTCGGCCTACGGTGAAATTCAATGAAGGCAACATAATGTGTTGGGGTAAGAGCCTTTTAGTATTTTGTCACCTGACTTTTTTCTTTAGGAGCGATGTCACGAACTTCAGTAGGTTCATTAGTTCACGTCAACTCAACGATGGATGCTGTGGCCTACAAAAACATTATGGAAACTCAAATGCTTCCTTTTGCAACTCAAACCATGCCTCCTGGATGGATGCTCTACCAGGACAACGACCCGAAACACAAGTCAAGGCTCATGATGAGAACGGTGGTGACTCTTCAAAATGGTACACGAGCACGACTTCCGGGCTGGTTTGCGGCAAGTCGAGTCAAATTGATCAATCCGCCTCCTACTCACCGGATATCAATGTTATCGAGCATCTCTGGTCATTTGTGAAGTCACGACTCAAAAGAAAGAAATTCGATTCGAAGGCTGCCTTATGGGTTCACATTCAACGTCTCTGGGCCACCATCCCCCAAAGTCTTTTGAAGAATCTCGTGGATTCCATGCCGAATCGACTCAATGAAGTAATAAAAGCAAAAGGAGGACCAACCAAGTATTGATTTTTAAAAATTGTGTTAATTCTTTGCAAATGGGGCATTACTTTTGTGGAGCTAATTTTCAAGTAGCTTATTTTTTTTGTTTTATAATTTAATTTGTGTGTAATGTATACGGATAAATCTTATATTCTTGAAAAGTCGAGTCTTATGGGTCGGTAAAAATAACCTACTCTTGTTCTGAAATGTCGATTTTGCAAGATTTCCTTACAAAACATACTGTTGGATGGCAATGGGGCATTACTTTTGTGGACCACTGTATACTCACAAAATATATGTAGTACAATATGGTTATTGGTAAGACTAAAGTTTTACTTGTACATATTAGAAGAAAGATTATATGGAAATCAATGAATTCTTCCTTTATTTAGGCAGCTTTGATCAAATACATAGCGTGCAAAAATGACAAAGATCGTGAGATGTTCAAGAATGAATATGAAGAATGAATGAGTATTCATTGAGCTCCATAAAACCAACACTAGCCGTTAATTTACGGAAAAAGCACTCCACCAATGCACAATGACCGAATTGAACACTTAGATATCTAATGGAGCGAAGGTTTGAGAAGAGCTATTGGATTGTTTTGGATAGTTTCTCTTTCTCATCAACAACTAGTTCTGGTACGTCAACGATTTTTCAACGTCAACATTCAGCGATTCACAATATTTGGGTTTATTGAGGAAAATTGGAGTGTTAAGCTGAGTGCTTTGGAGTTTTTCGTCATAGAACACAATGCTCTGGTGCCATGTTTTGGAGTTTAATTGAATGACCAATTGGCAGTGATCAGTATGATAGTGAACAGACTCACGCCCACTGTGTTTTGCAAATCACTCATGAATGTGAACTCATCGATTCGATCAGGTAATGATCTCTTTTTGAGGATATGACGACGAAGGGCTCTATTCGCTTTCAATAATTTTAGCAATCCATCGCTTCCCAAACATTTCAAACGGATTCTTGAAGCACTGGAAGCATTGAGAGTGAGAGGAAAGATTTTGAATCGATAGAGGCCATTTTGGGGGAATAATAACGGAGAGAAGATGAGAAGAGAATTTCAATAAAGAAATGAACAAAAGACGATAGAGATAAGAGCTAGCTGTGAGACTATGAGTTTGGAATAAAAAGTTGGCGATCAACAAAGGAAAGAAAGAAAACGCTTCTTCACGGCAACTGTTCTCCTCTCCTGTTCTCCTTTTATAAGCCATGTTATGTATCTTTCAAATTTCTCAACATTAAACATCGGCTCCATCTATATATCTGGGAGCGGCTCCTATTTTAAGGACAGGGTATCTCATCGATTAGTTGTTTTTCAACAAATATTGGTCTAATGCTAAATAGTTGAAGATTCGCGACTCAGTAGATTTACTGGAGAATTTAGTAATTTAGTAAATTCAATTCAAATTATAAGTAAGTGCAATGTAAGTACTCAAACTATTCATCTCAATTTCAAAAGCCTTTGTTCAATTATTCACTATTCACATTACAAAATCTATTTTGTCTGGTTCAAAAAACAATAGAGCCACAGCAATATAGAAACTGGGATACGGAGCAGAGTTTATCTTTATTTATGAGCTGAAAATTATATAACTAGAAGCCGAAACAGGCCACTTTTGACCCAAACAACCAACTATTTAATAAGATTACCGTAAATACTGTAATTGAAGGGAATGCCCTTCTATTTTTTCTCTACCCTTTTTCGGATTCTCCGAAAAATCACATAAGGGGGATCATATAAAGTTTTTTTTGAAAATTCTTTTAAAATCACTCTAGCTCGATTGGAAATGGATTAAAAGGAACGAAAAGCATGTTAAGATAAAGGAGAAGAAAGAGATTAGACATCCCTTTCTTGCAAAAGTTTTTCCCCTCACCTTCTAGAGGCTTTTCGAATTTTCATTTCAACTCCTCTTTTATATTTTATATATTTAGTTCTTAGGTCTAAGCCTTATCTGTGAGAAATGACATCATCCAATCAATTTGATGAACGCTATATTGGGAATGGAGCAATGGGGGAAGTGTATGAATTGATTGGACACGAGCCGTTGGTTATTTTCGATCTATTCACTGCCATGTTCAATAATTAGTCTTTTGTAGAAGCTGTATTGCACCATAAGCTTCATTTTTAGCTCAGCTGTGATCAAATATATGCTTTGTGGAAATGCTCAACGATTGAAGATCTTCAAAAATGAATGTGAAGCTTTAGAGAAGATCTATCATGGAAATGTGGTCCGATTGTATCGATATACAGAAGAAGGAATAAAAGTGGGAATTGTAATGGAATATTGTCAGAAGGGACCACTCAAAAAAGGTTCAGATTGGACTGGCATTGTTATATCTTAGAGTTTAGTGATTCTTGATCCAACAATTACCTATTCAATGAACACTGTTCTCACCTGGGGAATCCAATTATTTGATGCCATTGATCACATGTATCAGAAACACAAAATGGTACATCGAGATATCAAACCAGACAAGTAATATTCAGTGGCCAGTGGTATAAATGTCGAAATTCAATTCATCTATAGCATTTTTGTGACCAATGAATACCAGCTGAAGATTGGTGACTTTGGATTAGTGAAAGTAGTGGGAGATGGAACTGTTACGGGGACGTTTATTGGAACACAACGATATATGAGTCCACCTGATATGAAGGAGGATGGGGCACAACGGAATGTTTATGAACAAATAAAGGAGGCTGATTTATCGGTTCGTTTTACATTCATTTCTATCCAAAGATGAGATAAATTCATTCCAGGATTCCCATCGAAATGATGTCTACAGTCTGGGACTTGTTATGTGGGAAATCATCGAAAGGAGGTATTCATGTTTCAATAGTGCGCTCATTTGAAATAATAATAAAATTTCAAAACAACATATTTATTGTTTCAGAACCATTTTCACAAACTATGAGAGGTCTGAAGTGTTTGATCGTGATCGCTTAGTATTTGATATTGCCATCAAGCGTGTTACTGAAATCGAATCCCCTGAATGTCAATCAGAAATTCAAGAAATCATCTTGAGGTTTGAATCCAAGATTTTGTTTTATATATTAAGAATCCATCTATCAGATGTACTAATTTTCCACGTATTCATCGTCCAAAAGCTTCTGAAGTTGTGGATTTCCTTGCTCAAACGCCGAAAGTAAGCTTTAGGCTTGCTAATATAGGGAACCAAAATAAAATAAGAAAACCACATCGGGAATACAACTGAATGACCGGAGAGAGTCCAGAGCCGCTTCCAAGTGGTTCTCGTTGATTGGCTGGATCGAACTAAAAGAGCTTTGGTGTTTCACATTTTCATATGTACAGTTTATATATTATTTAGATGTCGATACAGTTTTGGGAACTAAGACAACGTACTAGACATATGCAATCAATCTCAGCCAATCTGATCCGAAACGAGAAATTCTTGTTCACAGACAGAGCCGCCTGCTGCTGTGGGAACCAGAACCAGAAAAAGAGGAGAACAGTTGCCGTGAAGAAGTGTTTTCCTTCTTTCCTTTGTTGATCGCCAACTTTTTATTCCAAACTCACAGCCTCACAGCTAGTTCTTATCTCTCTCGTCTTTTGTTCATTTCTTTATTGAAATTCTCTTCTTATCTTCTCTCCGTTATTATTCCCCCCCAAAATGGCTTCTATTGATTCAAAATCTTTCCTCTTCTAAATTCTCAATTCATTTTAAGACCATTTTAAGACCGTGTAATTTTCGTCGCTGAAAGGACAAAACGTCTAATACATGACAACTTCGCCTTCAAAAACATTTTTAGTGCTTTTTGCTAAGGATAACTTTACTTTTGAGTTGTTTCTGCCATATGAACAATAACAATATACACCAAATTGAAAAGCTACGCCTACATTAAGTAATATTGTGACATGAATGGGTAGATACGATGATTCATTCCCACACTAAAACAAATAGATGGGGTCTCCTAAGTGTATCGTTGAAAAAGACAGGTTCAGGATCAAATCTGGCAATTTGATATGGCGAGTGAATAAAAGCGCGAGATAAGGCTTTGTTCAAGACCTCGACTTTTTCAAGTGCAGCCAAATCATATTTTTGTTGACTCGGCCAATTCTACAGGGTGTCCCAGAATTACGGTAACCTGTAAGGAGCGGGACTAGAAAGCCAAAATTGACCAAGAACGAAAAGTAAACGAATAAATTTATTCTTTTAACACTATTCAACAGAATAATTCAATTTTTTCAAAGTGAGATCCCTTAGCGTCGATGCAAGCCTGTAAACGTTTTGGAAAAGCGTCGACGGTGGCGAGAAGGTATTGTGGATTGATCGCCTCCCACGCTTTTTGAAGCGCTTTCTTCAACGATTCCACTGTTTTATGTGATTTTGCGCAAGCCTGGGACTCCAAAACACTCCATACAGAGAAATCCATTGGATTGAGATCCGGGATTGAAATGCGATGATCGATCCCGTTGAAGCGTTGTCGAATATCCTTAGCTCGTTGCTCCCGCTTCTTTTTCACCGCATCCATAAGAAGTTGAGCTTTTCTCAATTTATAGGCTTTGAAGTGCAAGTGATTTCTCAAGATTCGACCCATCGAGCTTTTTGAGACTTTCAGTTGTGAGGCCATTTTTCTTACTGAACGGAACGGATTCAAACGGACACGGTCGCGCACCTTCTTGATGATGGCTTTGTTGATAGCAGATTGTTTGTTACCTCGTCCTTTCCGATCGAAATTGGTGCTCAGTTCCTTGAATCTTGCAATAGTCGTCAAAACCAGCTTCTTCGAGACTTTCAATCGCTTTGAAATATCAATCGCTCGGGTCCCGCCTTTGTGAAGTTGAATGATCGAGTTACGATGAGCAGAAGGCTTCGTCCCTCTAAATTTAAAATCAGATTTTGATGTAAACATTAACAAAACATTCAAAAAAGAGAATAAACCAAAAAAAGCTAAATCACAGGCAACTCAAAACTCAAAAATGGGCAAAGCAGCGGGGCAGAGCCGGTTACCATAATTCTGGGACACCCTGTAATCAGCAATATAAATTTAAATTCAATTTTGGTTCTTTGTACATTGATTCTTTAACCACGGCTCTTCGATATGTCTTCACCCAAGGCTTTAAAAGCAAATAAACTTTGCCAAATCATAAATGCCACTAATCATTAATGCTCAGTTCAGTGCGGAATCTTCAGCTTCTGCTTAGCTGTTTAGTCTAGGCACAACAATTAGCTGTATAGAAAAATTGCTTCTGAAAAGATAAAATATAAATACTCAGATCATCTGACCGGCCAGGTAAGGGCATCTAAAGGGTGGCTAATGAGAAATGCCTGAACGCTTGTGCGAATGAACCAATAAGCTTCAGTTTTCGGTTATCATATTCCTCTCCTTTTTCGAAAACCTAGAATCAATAAAAATGAGAAAAGAGTGGAGAAAAGAAAGAGATAAGACATCACTTTCTTGCAAAATTTTTGCCCTCATATTCCAACTGCTTTTCGAATTCTCATTTCATCTTTTCTTTTAAATTTTACATTATTAGTTCTTTAGGTCAAAGCCTTATCTGTGAGAAAACTGACATCTGACAATGACAACATCTGAACAATTTGTATTGGGAGAGATTATTGGGAATGGAGCATATGGAATAGTGTATAAATTGATTGGACACGAACCGTTGGTTATTTTTGATCTATTCATTACTATGCTCGATATTTAGTCTTTTGTAGAGGTTGTATTGTACCATAAGCTTCTTTGTTTAGCCCAGCTGTCATCAAATATATGCAGCCAAAAGATGATAAAGAATTGAAGATCTTATTGAAGATCTTCAAAAATGAATGTGAATCTTTGAAGAAGATCTATCATGGAAATGTTGTCCGATTGTATCGACATATAGAAGAAGGGAAAAGAGTGGGAATTGTAATGGAATATTGTCAGAAGGGACCACTCAAGAAAGGCTAGGATTGGACTGGTATTGTTATATCTTAGAGTTTAGTGATCCTTGATCCAACAATTACATATTCAATGAACACAGTTCTCACATGGGGAATCCAATTATTTGATGCCATTGATCACATGCATCAGAAACACAAATTGGTACATCGAGATATCAAACCAGACAAGTAATATTCAGTGGTATAAATGTCGAGGTTCAATTCATTTATAGCATTTTTGTGACCAATGAATACCAGTTGAAGATTGGTGATTTCGGATTGGCGAAAGTAGTGGGAGATGGAACTGTTACGGGGAGGCTTATTGGAACACCACGATATATGAGTCCACCTAATATGAAGGAGGATGGGGTACAACGAAATGTTTATGAACAATTGATAGAGGCTGATGTATCAGTTAGTTTTACATTCATTTCTATCCAATGATAATATATTTCCATTCCAGAATTCCCATCGAAATGATGTCTACAGTTTGGGACTTGCTATATGGGAAATCATCGAAAGGAGGTCTTCATGTTTAAATAGTGACCTCCTTTGAGATCTTTATAAGTTCTCAAAACAACATTCTCATTGTTTTAGAACCATTTTCACAAACTACGAGATACCTGGAGTGTATGATAACGATGAGGTATCTGGAGTGTTTTTTGATCGTGAGCAATTATTGTTTGATATTGCACTCAAACGTGTTACTGAAATCGAACCACCTGAATGTCAATCAGAAATTCAAAAAATCATCTTGAAGTTTGTATTTAAGACTTTCTTTTATATCTTAAGAATCCATCTATCAGATGTACTAATTTTCAACGTATTCATCGTCCACCAGCTTCTGAAGTTTTGGATCTCCTCAAACAAACGCAGAAAGTAAGCTTTTCTAAAAGAAGATTTTCTCGTTTATTGTTATTTTGTTTTTCCTTTCACCTATTTTACCATAATAATAACTAAAATGTTCCGGTTTTTTGTAGAATTCTTAAGGTGACCAAGTATTCAATTTTAAGAATCTTTTGTGGTAAAATAGCTGAGAACGGCCGGATTGAAGTTGACTTATTTTTACATGGCATGTAAATCCGTGTTCCATCACTAAAGTTCTTCTTTCTTTCAAAATATACAGAGGAAACTTTAAAATAGTTAAGCCTTAAAGCTTCAGCAAATTTCATGTTTAAAACAATTAGAAAAACACTCCTTGGTGATGACTTTCGCGCCGACCTGCGGACAAATATCTCTAAGATAAGCGTTCTCTGAGTGAAAACTGCCTAAACGCCCACTCTCTGGCATAGCTATCTTTGGTTTCTATTCTATCTATTTTAATGGTGAAATAGGTAAAGAGGAGTAAAGGGAAATTTCGTAGTTCAAACAACGAGTAAAATACTGCAAAAAAAGCGAGCTAATTTGTAGAAATGCATTTCATGGTTGATTGAACCAAACAGAGCCGACTGTATGCCAGAGAGCGGGCGTTTAGGCAGTTTTCACCCAGAGAACGCTTATTTTGGAGAAGTTTGTCCGGAGATATGGTAGTCCTAAGAATTCTACATAAACCATGCAAATTCTGGTTATTTTAGAGGTTATTTTAAATAAATAACTAGAAGTAAATGGGAATTTGTGAAGTTGCATACTTCCAAACCGAATAGTTGAGTAAGTTTTCTTTTTTTGGAATTTAAAACTTCTCAAATATAATAACCTAGACAAATCAATTCATCTCTTCACTCCCTTTCATGCCTACAGATGATCAAAACCAAAAAGAATTGATGAAACCAATTGGATTTGATGATAGAACAGAATGTGTTGGGTTAGGTGTTTTGTTTTTTGGGTTAGGTGTTTTGCGCTTCAAGAACAAAATATGATTTTGTGTACATTTTGTTGTGAGTTTTTGTGAAAACCCCCTCTTTGGGTCCAGATCGGTCTGTAGCGCCTTGGGCTCGGCCACACGCATAAGGGAAAAAACTACTGTTTTGTTCTTCCGCGCCAGCGCAAAAGCCTGCATTTTATTGCGCCTTTTGAGCTTCAATAACAAAATATTATTGTGTGTTCATTTTGCTGTGAGTTAGGTAAGTAAGGTTTATAGTGTAGCCAGGATAAGCTAAGTTCGAACATTTTCTCCTTTTTAAATCACAAACTACAATCGACGTAAAACACGGCGCAAAATAGAATACAGTTGTTGAGTCAGTAAACCAAACAAGATTCAATTTGTGACTCTCCATAAAAACTTAACTCGGTTAAACTTTTTCCTTGTTCGTCTACAAAATAATATTCTGTGCATTTGACTAACTTAGGTTTATTGTTAGCAGAATTCCTATAGCCCTTTGGAACTAAAGTTAAATTCAAGAAAAAAAAAGAAAGAGATATGACATCCCTTTCTTGCGAAAGTTTTACCCCTCACCTCCTAGCTGATTTTCAAATTCTCGTTTCATCTCCTCTTTTATATTTTATATTAGTAGTTTTTTAGGTTAAAGCCTTATCCAGAGAAACGAAAACAACATTTGTTGAACGATATATTGGGCAAGGAGCATATGGAGAAGTGTATGAATTGAATCGATCTTGCTTTTTCGATCAGGGGATTTTGTGGGGAAGTAAAAGTGCGAACCGATGGGTTTGTCACGAAAGATAAAAGCTAGCATGGAACCACGCAAAATACCTTGATTTTTTATTTTTAAACTGGATTTTGTATTTTTTTGCACGAAACGACATACTTTAGCAGTATGTCGCTGTGGGGCTGTGGCGCATAATTCGCAGACGGTGAATATCTGTTGGATTGAACCTAACAATCAATTGACCACGACTACAGCACAAATCCCGCTTGAATATTCACCGGATCAAGTTTGTTCTATAGTTCAGAAATGTTTAAAATTTTCTATTGATAGTTAAAAGAAAGGTTGCATAACTAAACATTGATGATGGAAGTCAAAGTTTTCAGCAAGATTTCGTTCATCGAAAAGAGCAAATTCCGCCAACGGCTTTTCATAAAATTGGAACAGGTTCAGCAACAATGGTTGTGTGAGTTTGAATGAAATTTCAGAAAATAACAGTATTTTTGGTTAAAACTAATTCTTAATGGTCTTTTAAAGTGGCATTGTGATGTCTCAAAGGAAAAAATCCCATTCAGAGCTGGTGTCTTTCGGAAAGATGGAGAAAGGGGAAAAGGTGAAAAAGTGACGATGAAAAGGTTTGTAATGTGAAACGCACAGTAACATCAAACAAAAAATCTTTCTCGACATGAGATATAAGTTTTCAGATTTTATAAATTAAAAACCCGTTTAGATATGATATCGTTTCTCTTACAAACCGAACACAAAGCACTTTTACCCAATTGCTGCAAGAAATACAGAACACTCAATATCTTATTCACCCAAATGTGAGTATATGTATAATATTCTAATCTTTTTTCTTATTATAGCAAATTGTTATTTTAGATTGTCACTATGATGGACTCATTTTACGAAGAAGGATTGAATCGATCACTCAAATTTGTTTGGATCATAACAGAACGAATGGATCACACGCTTGATGTTTATTTTAAGTCAGTATTTAGATTTTGATCTAAGAATAAGCTTTTTGAAAAAACTGAAGAGTTCAACTTTTTAGGCACCTTCAAACAGGGAATAAATTGCGTGATCATCGAAATGTTTCGGCTCTTTTTGTTCAAATGTTTCGTGCACTCGATTTTCTTTATCAGAGAGGAGTCATGCATCGAGTAAGAAAGCAAAATGGACACATAAAAACTATGTAATATCAGAATTTTAAAAATTAAGATTTTAAATGTAACTTTATCTTTAGGATGTAAGGCCAGAGAACATCGGAATGAAAATGGCAGGATTTGTGATCAAATTGCTCGATTTTGGAGCGTGCGGGTGAGAGAAATTTCAGAGTTAAGAATTAGTTTATTAGATTTTGAAGTAAATCGTGTTTGAAATGTTTTAATCAATAACAATGATTGTGTATTACAAGAGTTTTAGCCAGATAAACGCTCAATTGGATCATACTCGACTTGTTCTCACTCCACCAATCTATCAACCTTTGGAAGTGATTCTTGAGAGAAGATACGATTGTGGAGGTAAAATCAATTTAAACTGAAGAATTATAGCTGTTTAAATTTGTAAAGCACTAGCCTTTCAGTTGATATTTGGGCGATGGGTCTTGTCGGAATGGAAATGCTTGGATGTAAATTGATGATGCCATCATCAGTTAATAGGGTAAACTGCAATTCAATAATCCAACTGCAATTTAAACTTTCAGCGTCTCACTCAACCAATTAAACAACAAATTCTCGATGTAATCGGACTTCCAAATACGAAGTATCAAGACATGTATGAAATACTTAAAAAGTCAAAATAGCTTCACATTCAGCTTTCAATATTGTTTATCATCGGAAAGGCCGAGACCGAGAAGATTGGAGGCAGAAATTGATACGGCACTTGATCGAATGGAATCCGATAGACATTCAAGTCTAACAAGTGAATATTTAGAATAATTTTTGACTTTTTAACGGAATACTCTTTTGATATACAGATTTAGAAGCAAACCTAAAAGATCTCTTGCTCAAACTCCTTGATGTGAACCCGCAATCAAGACCGAGAGCATATGAATGCTTGGAACATCCATATCTTCTAAAAATGAATGTAAGTTTGTAAAAAGTATGGTTTCAATGTATAATATTAAACTAGAATTTGTTTCAATTTTATCCCAATTTTTAGCAAAGTCTTGAACCTGTTCCCACAGAAGACATTCAAAACAGCAACACTCGCGATGAAGGAATTTTAAAGCAAATGCTTTTGAATTTCTCAAGATTAGTGTAATAATTTTGGATTACTAAATTTTATTGATATCAATGACCTTTATCCAATGTTATGGGACATAAATATTTATCCAATGTTAGCTAACAAAATATTTATTTGTTAGTCGTTGATCTCTTTGTTGATGAAACAACTCCATTTTTAGGTTATGAGATTTGAATTCTCTAATCTCTCCAGGTTTCATTTGATTTAATCAATCAATTTCTTATTTTTTTTTGCCAGGTTGAGGTGTGCATTTGTTTGTGCAACAAAAACCCCCTTTCTTTTACTGAAAGGCATATAACCATTTTGCCAATTTAGGGTTTCCCTAAAATCATTTTTTCTGAAGCACTGCAGATCCTTATTTGAAAGAATTGTTTTCCTAGTCTTTTCAATTTTTTTACAACATAAAAATAATTCTATTGAGTAATAAGTTTCAAAAGAAAACATGCAAAAAATGATAGTTAATTCTAGCCAATTTTATCTTTGATTAAAGGGTTGATCCGGTCCAAGTTGCACTTTTAACTATATTCTAACTCTCGACTATGGCTTGTCAATGGTTATACTCGCCTCAGAAGAGAAATTCAAATTTCTCGTTTCAATCGACATGAGATGTAAGAGATTTTAGTTGTTTCGGACATAAAGTCGAGATTTTGAAAGTTTTCTTTTCAGATTGTCAAACATTACGAAGCTTTTGTGGAGAAGCCCGAAAATTCAACACACATCTGGCTTATCACCGAAAGAATGGATCATCGGATCAAGGATGGTACATCAGATCCAGTAAAGAGAGATCTTCGTATTATTGGAGCACTTCTCACTCAATTACTTCGTAATTGAACCAAGCATAGCCGGCTGTATGCTGGAGAGTGGGCGTTTAGGCAGTCTACGCTGAGAGAGCGCTTATTTTGGAGTTGTTTGTTCGGAGATATGGTAGTCCTAGGAATTCTACATGAACCATGAAAATTCTAGTTATTTTAAAGGTTATTTTAAACGAGTAACTGGTAAATGTAAATAGAGGAGTAAATGGGAAGTTGCGAAGTTGCATACTTCCCAACCGATTAGTTGAGTAAGTTTCCTTTTTGTTGAAGTTTAAAACTTCTTAAATGTAATAAACTAGACAAATCAATTCATCTCTTCACTCCCTTTCATGCCCACAGAAGATGAAAACCAAAAAGAACTGATGAAACCAATTGGATTTGATGATAGAACAGAATGGGTTATGGTTGGATCAGAGGAAAGGAAATATGAAAAGAGATTCGAGGAAGGTAAATGGTATGATGTATTGCGGGGATGGGTCAAAAATACAATGGCACATAAACTTGGAACACTAAATTCTGCTGAAAGAGGGAAATTCTTCAAAGGGGCACCAAATATTGCTTCAAAATTAAAAGAAGAAACTCAGACTTTCAAAGATGCTCGTTATGTGATTGAGGAAATATTGGAGATAGAAGAACGGAAGGAAAATCTACTTGAAAAGGATATTTATGAAATATTTGAATTGTTTGTTTTGGGAGATTTTCTAGTACAGCAATGGCAAGAAAATACCGCTTTTGTAGGGCTTAAAAGTCACGAGGAGATTTGGATCTCAAGTTTTGACGATTGGGGGTGGTGTGAGGATCGGATTAACAGTTTGAAAGAAATTGAAAGAGAGAAATACACTACAAATTTCTATTTTCGATGTTTTATTTCTCAAATGACTGGTGAGGGATGGATTCAGATAGAAAATGGGAAGTATGCAACTTCGCAACTTCCCATTTACTCCTCTATTTACATTTACCAGTTACTCATTTAAAATAACCTTTAAAATAACTAGAATTTTCATGGTTCATGTAGAATTCCTAGGACTACCATATCTCCGAACAAACAACTCCAAAATAAGCGCTCTCTCAGCGTAGACTGCCTAAACGCCCACTCTCCAGCATACAGCCGGCTATGCTTGGTTCAATTACCCAAGTATGAAATGTATTCCTACAAACTAACTCGCTTTTTTTGCAGTATTTTGCTCGTTGTTTGAACCGAAATTTGCTGAAATTTTAAGCTTCATTATTTCAATTTTCCCCTCTATATTTTGAAAGAAAGAAGAGCTTTTGTGATGGAACACGGATTTATATGCCATGTGAAAATAAGCCAACTTCAATCCAGCCGTTCTCATCTCTTCTACCACAAAAGATTTTCAAACTTTAGTACTTGGTAGTCCTAAGAATTCTACAAAAAAACCTGAAAATTCGGTTCATCATCATGGTAAAATAAGTGAAAGGAAACTTGCGTATTTTCCATACTTTCCAACCCAATATTATAGTAGACGAGAAATTCTACTTCTCTTAGAAAGGCTTACTTTCTGTGTTTGTTGGAGGAAATCCAAGACTTCAGAAGCTTTTGGATAATGAATACGTTGAAAATTAGTACATCTAATCGTTGGATTCCGAAAATATGAAGGAAAATCTTGAATCCAAACCCCAAGATGATGTTTTGAATTTCTGATTGACATTCAGGTGATTCGATTTCAGTAACACGTTTGAAAGCAATATCAATCAATAATTGGTCACGATCAAAAAACATTCCAGATAGCTCATAGTTAGGCATCTCGTAGTTTGTGAAAATGGTTCTAAAATAATAAAATATAATTTTGAAGTCTTGGTTATATTTCAAATGAGAAATATTAATACCTCCTTTCGATGATTTCCCACATAACAAGTCCCAGACTGTAGACGTCATTTCGATGGGAATTGTGGAATGAATATAACTTGTTATTGGATATAGAAAAGAATGTAAAACTAACCGATACAGCCTCCCTCATTTGTTCATAAAGATTCCGTTGTATCCCATCCTCTTTCATTTCAGGTGGGCTCATATATCGTTGTGTTCCAATAAACGTCCCCGAAACAGTTCCATCTCCCACTATTTTTACCAATCCGAAGTCGCCAATCTTCAGCTGGTATCTCTTCCATTCTCTTTTGTATCTAACATTTTCACTACATTTGGATGATCAACGGCCTTCAAAGTTTCACATTCATTTTTGAAGATCTTCAATTGTGCTTCATTGCCACAAAACATATATTTGATCACAGCTGGGCTAAATAAAGGAAGAATCCATTAATTTCCATATCGTATTTCTTCTAATATGTATAAGCAAAGCTTTAGTCTTACCAATAACCATATTGTTCTTCACGATTAAAAGTATTTGTATGCGAGCTTTGAGTTTACACAGTTGAGAGAATTTCAAATGAAAGCTACCAAAAGTTGTGGAGTACTTGATGGGTACCGGAGGACCTCAAAGGTGGGTTCCTTTGTGTTAAACGATAATAAAGAACATATTATTTGTTAACATTTTATGTGTATGTATAATACAGACTCTTTTCTTTTAGACACTGTATTTTTCAATAAAATAACCAACGGTTTATGTCCCTCCAATTCATACACATTCGCCATTCCTCCTACACCAATAAATCGTTCTTTGAATCGCTGGCTTGTTGCCATGGCTTATCCTGTTTGCTCTTCTTCAACCCCCAGATGTGCATGCACCCATTTCAACGGAAATGTCACAAGTACCGCTTTTCTTTCTACTTACAATCAGTAATGCTTTTCGGTTTGTCCTTTCTTAATTGTTCTAGCAATACATAATGTGATTCTATTCTCTAAACATCTAACAATTGTCAATAAATCTTTTCTCTTTAATAAGTACACTTGAAACACATATTTCTTCTGAGAATTTGGATCATAATTATTTCTGGATCATAAGGCTTTGAAGCTGACCCATCAAAATAGCATACTTATATGCTTTTTCTACGAAATTGTTTTCTAAATGGGTGTGACAGTTTCTACTTTATATATTCATATTTTATTCAAGACATGAAATAAAAATCAGGAATCGTAAGCGAGGCAAAAAATGGATCTTGAGAGCTTCGAGTTCTTGAAGCCGGTTGATAGCCTCCGAGAAAGAATTTGTCGTTTTGCTGGACGATCCATTTGCTTATGCACCCGGTGAACGAATTTCCTGCTTTGATCGACGGCTAAAGTTTTACACTATTGATGCAAAGATTTGTCAAGACTTCTATAAAGAATTTGGTTTGAAATTTATGCTTGGAATCGACATCAACTTGAATGCCTGGAGGATTAATTACTAAAAGCTTTTTTCTTTTTTGTCGTTTGTTGAAAATCTTAAAGCTTTCTTGTTTAAAAATAAAGTATTTAGAAAAAATAAGTTTCTTTCATCTTTTGGGCAAATATCCAAATTTGTGCATAACTATATTTGTTATTATTTGCTAAAGTAACTTGTCTAAACTGTTAACAATAGATCTTTTGAGCATAGAAAAGTAGCCATGTCTTATGAAGGTAAGAAAACCTAATTGTAAACAAAGATATTCCGTATAAATACAATTATAGCTTTGTTTTAATCGGTTTAGAATGAATTTGCAAAGAGATTTCACTGGGCTATTTGCAAACGACACCGACTACCAAAGGGAGCGACTTGGCACCGGAGGCCTAGCAGTTGTCAACAAGCTTTGGCACTACCCGTAAATCTTCTAAACCATAATCTCAAAAATCTTTGCAATACCTTCAAAAATTAGTTTGATAAGTCAACTTTCATCGGCATCTTTAGACCTGCTGTCCTCAAATGTGCAAAGTATGAAGATGAATATGGAGGAGAGCTGGTTCAAAGACTGAGAGACGAACGAAAAGAAAGGATCAAATGTGAGTCGGAGGCATTAAGAACCCTGCAACATCCGAATATCGTCTCCCATCTCGGATTCTCCACTTGCAATAATGACTTTGCGTTTATCATGGAACATTGCGAACGGGGTGACCTGGCATCTTGTGAGTTTGTTTTGCGAATCTCAAGAGATGAAAAAACGTTTCAGTAAGAGACGACGCACACGTCGCATTTCCACTCCAAGTTGTCATCTTTTGGGCTGTTGAGCTTTTCGATGCTCTTGCATACCTCCATCATCGATATATTGTATACGGTGACGTCAAACCTAACAAGTTCGAGTTTTCTTAATGAGAAATTCAACAGATTCTAG